ACCTGGGGCTTTTCAGTCTGGAGAAGATTTAGGGTGGATCTAATTAATGTATATAAATATATGAGGGTTGGGTGTCAGGAAGGAAAGGGCAATTTCTTCTCACTTATGCCCTGTGATAGGACACAGGGCAATGTACACAAGCTGGAGCACAAGAAGTTCCACCTCAACATGAGGAAGAACTTCTTTACTGTAAGGGTTCCAGAGCACTGGAACAGGCTCCCCAAGGAAGTTGTGGAGTCTCCTACCTTGGAGACTTTTAAGACTCGTCTGGATGCATTCCTGTGTGATCTGCCCTAGACTAGATGGTCCTGATCTGGCAGGGGGGTTGGACTAATTCTCTGGAGGTCCCTTCCAACCCCTAACATTCTGTGATTCTATGATTTCAGATGAAAAGAAACTTCAAAAAGACTGAAGCTGTTCAATCAGGTACTGCCTCTTACCCCATCAAAAAATGTGATCAACACGTGTAAATTGTAACATAAAAAAAATTTAAATTATGTATTTTTAAATAACAAAATGAATACATGAAACATATTGCCAGACAACTGAAAACTATAACTGTAAACCAATTGAAACTGCAGGTGGATTAAAAAACTTATCTGGACTCACAAGAGGACCAATCACATACACATTTGAAACCACTGGCAGTTTTGTTAGGAGGACAGACGTTAGCACTAATAACAAAGATACAGAGAAACCTCTGACCATCACTTTATTCCATGAATGTAGACAGATATTTCACATTTCTCAGAAAAAAATGTAGACCAATGAAGAACTGAACTGAACTCAGTCCAGCAAAAGGCTAGTACTTGACTGCTCCAATATCTTAGTCTGCCCTCTATTCTTGCAACATTTGAGTGCATAGTAAAATATCGAAACAGATTATCTTCAGCTTTGATCACCTATAAAAGCAGGTGCTATTACTACTTTTTAGCTTACTCATCTCATGAAATATGTAACAATAAAGTTATGTGCATAACAGATTTGCAACTACACAGCTATAACGTTCTGGTTATGAACACCTTCCCTACAGTGTCTGTTACTTGATGGAGACCCAGAAAGAAAAAACAAACAAACAAACAAAACAAAACACCAAACCAGACACAAAACTCAAAGCAAACCAACCAAACAAAAAAACTCAAATAAAACCAACCAACCAAATAAAACCATATCTTAATTAGCTCTTGAATCTTTGTTTGTGGATAAATGATCAGGTGCTGGGCCAGTGGGCACTTCTCACACAACAAATTTAACGGTACGTAGCTGGATGCATCTCATCTATGAATAAGATGACTGTTTTTTAAAGTTATCTTCCATGTAACTCTATAATCCAAATCCATTTAGTTTCTAGAGGTCCAAACTTCTGACATGTTTTAGACTTCCACTGACTAATATCTCCCTACAAAAAAGGTGTAAGTGTCCGCATGCTTTCATTCCAGATCATACACATCCATCTGTACATATTGACAGAAAAACAGGAATACAGAATTTTGACAAAACATGGTGACTCAATCTGGTCCATATGACTGGAAAAACGCAAATGCCATACCTATTTTCACAAAGGACAAAGAAGATGAACTACAGGCCAGTAACCAGAAGACAAAATGGAAAGGAAGCTAGAAACAGGATGTGTGTTTTGTTCTTTAATAAAAAATGAATATCAGATGTTTTCAATGCTAAATGAGAAAATTCAGTCTTTGTTAAATGGTTACTAACTGACTTCAACAAATTAGCCCGGTAGCATGTCCAACAGCTAAACACTGATTAACAATGAACTAACCTCCAGGTCTCTGTGAGATCGGAACTCCACAACCTGTCATTTCACATACAAAAAGTTTCTACTAACATGTATTAGCTACGGCATAAGGAAAAAAACCCAAAGAAACTCAGGAGAAATTTATAATTATGAAGAACCAATTCACAGACTGAAAGACTACCACTTCCTCTTTCCAGAAAACACATGGCCCATAGATGTCTGACCAACTAAAAGACTGATTTCCTCAGTTTCAACATGCTCACTTCCAAACATTACTTCTAGAGTGTCTTTCAATGCACAAAATTATAATTTGCAATTGTTTCCGAATTTCTATTTACAAACAAATTTAAAACTTAGTATCTTTAAAAAAAGTAAAAGTCTGATAGAGCATTCTCCTGCTCATTATAAAGAACACGATTGTTGCTGAAACTGAGTGGTTATTAAGGCAGACAAAAAAGACAAGGAGCTTTAATATTAAAGATTTTAATGAAGGAAGTTGCTAATAAAAATCTGAACCTAATAAAAATTGAATATATGGAGTTTGAAAACAAATTCCAAGGCTGAATTCTTAAAAAAGACCTTTTCAGGGGGCTTTTAGATTTGAGAAGAAAAGACGTGAAAAGTGCTAGACATTCAGCTTTATGTTAAGTAAAATGTTTCAGGTTTGTTTCTTTGAATCAGTTTGCGTTTTCCTTCAGAATTATCAGAGTATTACCATTTACTTAGGTATGTTAGGATATTTTATTATTTCAAGGCTTACCTTAAGATAGCCTCCAGATGACACAAGCATTTTACTGTCGGAAGAAAATGAGAGGTCTGTTACCCAACCACCATGTGTTGGTTCTCCTTCGTCTACAGTAACTGGGGAGCAGTAGTGAAGTAATGCACCTGTTAAAAGGTTCCAAATCTAAAAGAGAGGGAAGATTATATATCTGTCAACTTGATGGAGGAAAAAAAAAATATCTCAAGTTAGGATAGTTGAAATGTATTTTTCTATAAGAGAAAAAAAGCCCTGTAAATAAAGCAGTCTACTTCAAGTGACAGAATAATAAAAAAAAAAATTAATTCTTCTCTTAGAACTATGTTATATATGTGTATATATAAAATCACACATGCAATTTTCAGCAGAATTATTAGCAAACGATGTGAATCAGTTCCTCAGTATTCACGGAACATAATTCTACCAATATGGTTACCAACTACCGTCTCATGTGGCAAACTTTATTTTCAGCTTCTCAATGTTCACCACAATGCTGATGAAGCAGATGTGCAGAACACAGACTATGAGGACTCTTCTGTCTGTGAACCTACGATCAATTGAATTATAAACAACAAGGTTAAAGCAATACCCTTATTTCTCCTTTGTCATCTCCAGTGGCCAATAATTTGTTATTGGGAGAGAAAGTACAGCACCGCACACAGGCTTCATGACCTTTCAGCTCATGAAGAACAGAGGAACTTTCAAAGCTCCATATCTAAATGGAAAACATTACAGAAGAGTGAAAAAGGTAAGTTCAAAACCAATTATGAGTTCTTTCTAAAAAGACATTAGCATTTAAATTTATGTCAGACTTTCTGTATATATGCACATACATGCATATTCTACACTGACTATGTTTTTATTATTTGAATCACACAAAAATGCATTTGCTACAAGCTACTGAACCAATTGAGAGCGTTTTTTTCCCCTTGGAATATACTATTTAATGAAACATTCATTTATAAGAAAGTTTAAAGGTGTTCATAGAAAAAGTATTCACTGATCAATTTAAAGCTCAATTTGAAAAAAAAAAAATGGGACACTTTAAGAATCTAATGAAGCAGGCTCAGGATATTAAACAGTTCACTTCTTTTTGCACCATGCTTGTGAATAGAAATACCAGAAGCTATGGACAAAACTTTCACTGAAAGTCTCAGAAATTTTTCTTAACTTACATTTCCAGGCTAAGAATGTTAGGCTATTAACAAATCAATATAGGGAACTAAACAGAGCGTTCTGCACAAACTTGTGCATTAAACATGCTTTTCATCAGTACAGAAGTCATCAGGACAGCTTCAAGTTATATCCAAGATTAAACGTGAGTGACTGTAACAGCTTTAGAAACATGTCCACAGATACAGGAAATTTAATACTAGAAATACAACAGGAGATCTTAAATAATCACTAGTTAACTCGCAATAAAAAAATATAGTATGCATTTCAGGACAGACAAGGCATCATTTTTATCTGTGTACAGAACGTAACAAACCTTTGCAGTTTTGTCAGCAGAGGTAGATGAAAATTTACTACCATCAGGTGAAACAGCACAGGAAAGAACAGCACCTAAATGGCAAGCAAAATCCTTTTCTGTGTTTCCAGTAGTGATATTCCAAACCTACCAAATATACAGGAAAAACAGGTTATTTACACTATAAAAAGGTGAAAAGACCTACATCTTACACAACACTATATAAGCAATAAAACTCAGCCACATAGTTCTAATATGGCCAACGCTTTGTTATGCTTACTGTTATAGTTACTAGAGTGTAAATCTTACTAGAAATAGAAAAAGCAAAATTGTGTCTAAAAAGTCAGCTTACACTTTAGGACCAATTCAACAAAATGTGCCTCAACACAAAGTGCGCAAAATACCAAACATCAAATGAGACAGTAAAATGTATTTTATGCAATTTGTCAATTTACCACCTTTTATTTACCTTAACGGTTCCATCAAATGACCAAGAAAGAAGTTCTGAATTTTCCAGAAGTCTAAAATCCTTGACTGCTTCCTTGTGCCCTCTTAGAAACACACATTCATTCAACTGCCAATGCCACACCTAATCATAAAGATGGAATACTTTTTCTGAAAACATTTTAATGGCAAACATAAGTTAAGAAGAATGAATGAAATGATTGATTTTTAAGTCACAGAAATAAAAAGATTTTAAGCAGGTGGCAACTAATTAAACATTAGATAATGAAATTATCCATAGCAGACATGCTGAAGATTAAGGATGCCATAGTCTTTAAAAGTCAACTTATGAGAGAGTTCTCTATAATACACACATAATCTGATTTTCAAAGTTAATTTGATGCTTAAAATTCACTGGCAATTTAAAAAGAAAAGGCAAGACAACAATTTTCTAGGCAGACCAGAAGTTTTGGGTTTTAAACCTTTGACTGTTGCAACAAACAGACTTCTGTCATCCACCAGACCTCCCATTTTCCATACCTAACTTTCTCTTATATTTTTAAATCATACTTTTGATTAAATGCCATTTTGCTTTGCATTTTTGCATAACGAAATGACGCTTCTATTTTTAATGCTTTACAGAAACCGCTAAGCATCAATTTCATTTAAATGACAATGATTTAATAATTTTTAAATTAATAGGGTTTCTGCAGCAGAGAAGAGAGGCGTTCAGACGGCAGTCCTGGGAGGTTTAACTGAGGCCCTGTCCACTAGAGGGAGCAGAGAACCCAGAAGAAAAGCTAACCACCTTAAGCCAAGAAACTGGGGAGATGCCCGTGCTGCTTAGGTGACAGTGATGGCACTCGAGCTACCTTCAGATCAAAACAAAGACCAAATTGGGATGCTGCCATAGGTTACATAGCAAGTAGGTAGCAAGTTGATACTGGAACAGATTTGGTGAGCAGAACAGTGCCAAGGACCATCACCCATATACATTTTAGGGGTTTTACTTCAAATCAGCTCAAGTTTGGTTGTGTGGATCGAATGCTCATTATCAGCTGGAGCATGTACTATAGGAGTCTAGTTCAGGAATCCTGTTCTGTCAGCACACCTGCAACTGCTACGCAGTGCCAACTAAAGCCAGGAAGCATAAACAACCATGACATTCACTTCAAAAGGGCATCCCTGTGGTGAGCTAAAATGTTAGCATAGACACCAGAACACTCCTCCAGAACCAATCTACCTTGCTGAGAGGCAGAGGTTATTGATTTGAGACTACACTGGTGCAGCCATTCTACTCCCATCTAGTATCTGTATTCAGCAGTGTACTGGACTAGGCAGACACACTAGTTTGCTCAGAGACTTTTTATCTCTTTCTCTCAGTGTAAGCAAGCCCACTGACAGACCTACCATATACATAGCCAGTTCTGAAGCACATCCCAAGCACTTCACATATGCACCCAGAACTGATGAGTTACCTGGATTGAAAATTAATGTTTCTTTCACCCATCTTAAAAGAAGTTGGTGCCTTTCTATCATCCACAGCATTAAAAGCAGAAATTGTCTAATAATCACTATCACAAAGTATAAACAGAAACTACAGTTTCTATAGTCCCACGCACCAAGAAGGAGCAAGACAGAACACAGTAGTCATTTACTGAGTTTACATTTACCTACAGTATAAAAGATCTTTTTAAAAAAATTTAAGTTACAACATAATTAAAAAAAAAATATTTTCCAAACCTGTATAACTGAATCATGAGCACTTGAAATGAGAATCTGACAATCAGATGTAAATTGACAATGCTGCACAGAAGTCCTGTAGGCCTCCTGAGACTTCAGAACTTTCCCATCCAACAACTGTAATATCTGTACCATGGAGAACGCAATAATCTTATTTATTTTATGTACTTGAGGAAAAGGGAGAAAAGAACATGCAAATTCTTTTTTAAATAACACAAGCTTGTACAAATAAAAATTCACATCAGCTTTGTCCTTGGTAAAACAAAATTCAAAGCTACGTTATTAGCACTACCTTTAAATTACTGTCATTTAGGCATCACTCAAACGTAACAACTTTAGAGTAGTATGTTGAAGATTATTATTGTACCAAGTCATTCAAATGACATTTCTTTAAAAAGAAAAAGCACCAAGAAGAAAATTTTCCTACTATTTTAAAAATCAAATTTAGGGTTTAATACCTTTATTGTTCCATTCTCCAGTCCAAAAGCTGCCAATTTAAGGTCTTCACTTAAGCAACAACAGGAAATGGGGGATTCTTGAGCTGCTGTCTGCATAATAACACTGTCTTCATTTCCACTGATAAGCTGCACGATAGGAATTTAATTCAGTTACTACAATATTTTAAAATTTAGACTAAATAAATAACAAAGAGCTAAGAATGATAAAGAGAACAGTGAACCAAGCTTTGAATTATCAGTTACTTTCATAAACCAACTGCTTTGAAAGTCAGTGTAACTATTTTCATAGAATGCTCTCTGAAGGGGACAAGTTTGCAGAGGAAACTCATCTCAGCACTAGAAAGTGTTTTAAAATTTGTCTGATTACAGAAAACAGTAACTTAAAATGCTACTTACAAATTTCAAAAGCCATATAGCAAGCTCCACACGCAAATTCACCTTGCCAGTCAGATTACACAGCTCATGCCAAATGGAGCATAAAATAACTTAAGTGCATCTCTAAGCGTGACTTCAAACTTCTAAGGAATCTTTAGAATAGAATGATTTACAAAGTTTAAGTTTACAAAGCTACCTCTGTGAAGTGTTTAAAAATGAACATAATGCACATCAGAAGGTGATTAAGACTGCATTTCTGAAAATTTACAAATTACAATGGGTAAAACATCACAGGTGCAAGAAGAACTACTTTTAGAAATGTGATAGAGATATATTGTTAAATTACAGTACATATGCTTAATTGCAACTTGTCTTTTCAGTCAATTTCTCTTCTTGTACAAGGGTGAAAAATCTGTTATCTTTCTAAGAGTCTTCTCTCCTGACTGCACCTCTACAGGACATCAGAATATGTATTTAGGGCAGAAAATCTAAGCACCATCTTTCTCTAGGAAACAGTTCAAGTAAAGTTACAACAGAAATGTACTAACTATAAACAAACAGATCAGGCCTACTAATTCAAGTGAGATAGACATTATACCATTACATAGCAGTCGCTACAGATTTTACAATTCACAAAGGTTAAAAATTAGCAGTCATCCTAAATTGCTCCTCACACATAAATAGGAACAACTCCATTTGCTGTGCTTTCTTCTATCTCTTCACAGCAACAGATGCCACTTCTCCTTTCTCACATATTATTTGTTCACATATATTTTAGTTTCAACATTGATTGCTTTCTATTGGCTCAAAGTCTGAAATCTTTTTATTTCCAAGGCCCCACTGGAGATACTTCCCATTGGAGCTACTGCCACATCTACATTCCCCACTACTCAAATATCACCACTATTCCACTTAAGGTTTTTTTTTAACAGGATTTTTAGGTAAAGTAAGAAATGGCTAACTTGTTGACAGGACAGACGAAAGAAGGTAGACAGAAAATAATCAGGAAGAGAGAAACAGGAAGTACAGGGCAAACAAGAAGAAAAGTTTCTGCAAAGAAAGCTCTCATTTCAGTAGAAGCAGTAAAAGCTGAGCATCTCTAGGACCAGAAATGGTCATGCCAATGAGCCAGGATTACATAGCTTACATGTTTGCCTTTAGCCACATTAAAGGGACACAACCCTACATAAAAACATTACTTGCCCAGTGCCCCTCTGTGCAGGGCAGCAGAACCTGCTCCAACATTCACCTACCTATACATTCAGCAATAAGAATTCACTGCTTTCATAGTCCAGAACAAACGTTCATTCCCATTCAGATGCTGCTGCATGCTAAACACCTGAAATAGCTACCCTTATGGCCACTGACCATTTTGTGGGTTAACATGTCAATTTTTACAGTGTTCTGTAATAAACATGAAAGTGTTTTTGCTTTTAAACAGCTACAATCAAGTAGAAACATGATCTGAACTGCATTGCCTTCACTTCAGAGAAAATCCTATCAACTGACTTTATTTGATGCATTAAGAGAATCATGATTTAAAAAAAAAAAAATCATGTGCATTCATTTGCTGTCATGAAAACCAAAAATAACTTTTGGAAATCGATATACTTACTACTTGGCGAGGTGGATCCATAGTAATAAGAATGTGTCCACTATTAATATTTTCTTTAGGACATAAAAGACCCCATGCACTGCTACAGCTGTTAGCAGACCTGGCCTCACACCTTTCACTCCCCCAGTTTGGGATGATTCCTTCAGCTAATACACAGTAGTACTGATGCATTCCATACATGTTATGCACACATTACACATTGCTGTGTACATCTAAGCCACTTGGAGGACCCACAGCCTCCCCAGTCACAAAGAGAAAACAGTTTTGTTCCTCTGCATCCAGATTCAGTTTCAACATCAGTGTGGAAATTTCCCCTTAAACTTTATTTTTTGCTTACTAAACTAGGCAGAGTTTCAAGATATAAAAATGTTATCATACAATAAAAGCAATCTGCTACAGATTCAACTGTTGGAAGTCATGAACAAGCAGTTCTTTCAGTGCTTGCCCCCATGTCATACTGAGATTTGCAGGTAACACTTAATGCACGAATATATTGAGAAATATAGCTTACTTGTAAACACTTCTGATTGTAAATTGCTAAAATCAGCACTTCACCATTGTGAAATACAACATCAAGTTCACTTTTTAGCACAGCATCAGAAGACTTGCACACCTTCTTTGTTTCCCAAATCTGTTGAAGAACACAGTATTTCATCAGTTTTATTAAAGGACAAGATATAAAACCTGCTGAGAAAGAGTAACTGCAAACCAAAGTCTTATAAACTTCCAAGAAGCATTGATTTTTTTACTTTTAAATGCTATCTTTATTTACTAGGAAAGGTTGTACAATTACTAGAGTGATTCAAACTTACACGTATTGTCTGGTCATCAGATGATGTCAGAAATAAAGATCCATCTGGTGAAAAAGTCACACAGTGAACCCAGCTCATGTGTCCCCTGCAATACGCCACTTTTGACAAATATTTAATATTCCATAACTACAATAAAAAAATGAAAGAAAACCTCAAACTCATGTACAGAGAAAACAGTGCAAAACAAGAATTAATTACTATTTCTTCTAGTATTTTCTTTCTTCTTATTCTGAAATCAGAGGTGACAAGAATTGTGCCTGGTTATCACATTTTGATGGTCAGGGAAATTGAATCAGCAGCCTCTTTGACTGCTATAATTTTAAAAGATGAGGGAAGGAAAAAAATGAAAAAAATCACTCACTGTATAAAAAAGTACAAGTTCAAGTTGACCACCTAAATTGCAAAGCAAAAAAAAACCAAACCAAACAACAACAACAAACCACACCAACCCACACACCCCCCCAAACCTAATACTTGTACAGGCTTACTCTAGCCCTCTAGCCATGCTAGTCCCAAAGTTACTCTAGCTGTTTCACCCCTTTTTAGTGAGCTGACACATTCTGTATCAGCATATAGAAGGAGAGAGGGCTTGGTTTGGGTTATGCAATACTCCTGAGAGTAACAACAGTAACTTTAAATAAATTTAGTGGACTAGTCATAAATATGAATTCTGTTGTCCAACATATAACTTTAAAATGTTATTTTCCAATTGATACTGTACATTTCAGAAGTGTGTAAAAATTAAAAAGAATGAAAGATGTTGAAAACCTGCTAAAATAGCTACATTTGGTTTATCTCTGCATACAAGAAACTATTAAGGCAAATATAATATTTCCTATTATGAACAGTTTTTCCTGGTATACTGTAGTAAAGATGATCACTTACCTCAACAGAACAGTGAGACAAAGCAACTGCTACTAACTCATCACCAGGACAAAAGTCACAGTATTGGATTGTACTGTGATGACTTATGACGACTTGTGATAACAGATTACATGTTTTAACATCAAAAAGCTGTGAACACACAATTACAACAGTTAATACTCAGTTTGAATGATTTCAACTAGAGACAAAGAGCTTATATGCTCAACAGCATACATTCCTGAATTTAGAAGGAATTTATCTCAGTCAATGAGTTTATTGCCCACATATTTTTCTTTTGCACACATTTGAAACCATACACCTTACTTCTGAATCATCTTAATGGCCTGGGATTTTATCTTCATTTCTATTTTCTACCTACATTGTAATATACTACCTCCAGAAAATTATTCAAGTATGGTACTCACCAAAAGCTTGTTTTTGGCTACTACCAAAATCATGTCACCATTTCTGGACCAAGAGCAACACTTTACTAAAACCTCCACATCATCTGGTTGCTCATCTGCATTTTTGAAGAAATCCTTTATCTCAATACTTTCCAGTATATTTCCCGAGCGTGATTCCCAAAGCTGCAATAAAAAGCAAAGCAAATATACAAACACTTTTTTTTTTCTGATGTGGATACAGAATGCAACAGGGGAGTGTTAACTCCTAGGGACTTCTAGGAAAGAAGAGAGTTGTGGGTAGAATAGAAAAAAAGCTTTTGTTACTTTCCCTGGTCAAGAAATAGCATTAGAATATTCACAAGCCCAGACAGTTTAAAGGAAAAAAAACAACCAACCAACCACAGAAACCCACCCACCAAAACCCAACACCACAAAAAAATAACCCACACCAAAAAAAGAGGATTATACTACAGTAGAACTTGCTCCCTGGGTTTTTTTCTCATATCATTCCAGCTACAATGCTGCCTCAACTTCTGCTTAATAAAAAATATCTGCTCTGCAACACTATGAAAAGGCCACTCACCATGAGAAATCTGTTATACATCTAGCTTTACACCTTAATTTCATTGAGCAACCTGCCAAAAATCTACTGAACATTTCTGTTGCCTGCACCACAATTTTCCTTCTGAATGACAACAGCTGCAGCAACTCTTCTCTCCTCATTTAGCAACTCTACAGAAAGATAATAGTGTTTTAAAAATAGCAATTGTGAAATAGCGTAGTTCTGCTGCAACCAAAGGCAATAAAACTAATACTTACACTCTGAGGAAAAATACATAAACATCTTAATTATCTTCTAGTGCATATATGAAAAATGGCACACAGAAATTGCTTTGAATTTTTATGTGTACTGATGATTTGTTTTCAGATATGAGATTTTTCAATTAACCTAAAAATTTCAATTTTGGATTGTTTTTTTTGTTTTGTTTTAAACAAGTTTCACTCTTCCCTCAAGTTTCCTTAACAGAGTACATGAAAAAAACCAAGAACAACAAAAAAAGATGGTGAAAAATAAAGGTTTCACAATGAGAAAGGCTTTATTTGCAACTACAGACATCCAACTTTTTTTCCTGGTACTAGACAAGCTATTTCAAAAATCTTGCATTAAAAATGTGACCCATAATCAATGTTTCAGTATTCAATTCACTAAAGCTGATCATGCATACACAAAGTTTTCTTATACATATTTTGCATTTTATTTAAAAAAACAAATCACCAAAACAAACACTTGATTTAAAAATACATTGTGTACCTTTACTGTTCCATCTGTTGAGCAGCTAGCAACACATTCATCGTTTGGTGAAAATCTACAGTGATTGACGGAATTTTCATGACCTATCATTGTGTTTCTACAACGGTTTTCATTCAAATCCCAAAGCTGCACAAGAAATAAACATATAATTATATTCATGAATTATGCAAAGACAGGTTGTTCATGCTCTTCTCAAATCATGCACTGGAAATCAAAACCTCAATTATTTCTTTTCTTAGTTTTACCCACATGCTCACAGCCTTAACGTTATGCCCTGGGCTACCCCACAATTCACTTCCATCTGCTAACGTGCATGAAAACTAACAGCAGAATTACACAGAACTAGTTAATATTTCCGTACAGTGCAAACAAAGCACTTGAACAGCACAAATTTACTGGAAGTTTCCTCAGACTGAGGAAGAAGCTTCCTCTTGCCCCTCTCCCTTTCAACAGAAGTTCAGAATTATGAACCTTACACATAATAAATTAAATTTCCAGGATAGTCATGGACAGTCTGAATATTAATCTTGCCATATCCATACTAACAAAGTTAAAAGAACATCCCATATGTTTTTTTGTTTAGGGCTCCTCTGCCCCATCCCTCTCACACACACTGTTTTCCAAGCCTATGGCCCACACTTCCATTCTCCATTTCCAAATTTCTTCCTCTTCTCCTAAATAATATTTATTTAAAATCATGCATTTGAATATCCAAGATCTCAAAACAAGAACAGTCACTTGTACAATGCTATCTGAAAAAAAAAATGCATACTTCAGTTCTGTTGTTACTCATGAAAGTGTAAAACTGCTTCAAATCTTAACCACACTTCCAGTATAAAAATTTTTAACATGTGCCTTCTAAATCTTTCTGTTCCAATGTGTCAGTCCCAGACAGAAAATGCATCTCCTGGAATTCAGCACGAAAGTCTCCTCTTTCCACTCTGACATCAGATTGTAACTGTATTTTGCCTCCAGTTTACAACAAACTCTTGCAAGAACTCTTCAGAGGAGACTTCACATTACAATTGCTCTTTGGGAGTAGACAACAACTTGCACCACTCCCAACTCCTGCTCTGGAACTAAGCAATTGAGCCACTACAGGAAATTTAACGAGCAAAAACCAAAACCAATCCCTCTTTGCTGAGTTGGCTCCCTGCAGGCTACCACTTCAGAGTAACATGCACTGCAACAAAGGCAAGAGTATACAGCCAAAACATCTTCAGTGCCAGTTAACTATATGATTTGCTTAGCTGTACTATGAAATTGCACTCAATTGTCATAGTTTAGGTCTTATTTGATTCTTTCGGTTTCCACCTTCCCTCAGATGCAGACTTCAGTTGCCTGGTTTCTGCTCTTTCTGCATATACATACCTGCCTCCCAGTCTGAACAGTGCTAGCTGGTTAACCTGAGAAACCTCTTGCTTCAATTACTGTTATTTTGTTGGCATTCACATTCATTTCTTTACAATGCAACAATACAATGTAACCAAAACATGTACCTGCTATACTTCCATCATATCTTTTTTAAAAAAAAAAAATAAATCTTTCAGCATTCAGGTTTTTTACATCATTAATGTTTTAAATCCTAAATTTCTGCCTTCGGTTTTATTAAGCTGGTGTTAAACAGGTATTTCACTCCCATACTATCTCATTCCCATACCATCCTCCAAAAGTCTTGTCAAATCCCTCACCATCATGCCCCACCAACAAAGGACTTGCCCATTCTCTTTTACTGAGCATAAACACTCCTATTCTGCCATACTGAAATCTGATTAGAGAGCTGCAGTCAGTACTCTTAACCTCTTGCCATCTCTCCTCTACCAGGTTGATTCAAAAAATCCTTAATTTATACTGCTTAAAAATATTTATACATCAATAATTATTCTGTTATGATAAGCAGCATGAGAATAATATCAATCTTTTCCACTTACTTTGATGAAAGTGTCATTTGAGCAGGTAGCTAAAAGATACTGACCACTTCTGTTATTGAACTGGCAGCAATTGACCTGCTCACCATGTTCTTCATACACACACCTACACTGGCCTGTTCTTGAATTCCAAATCTAGAGAGAATTGAAGCATGAAAAAAGACTTTTAAATATATTTTAAAATACTTAATTTTTAAAAATCTGTAAACTGTGCTGCAATACAGATAAAGCCCTAAAATATTCTTAAGAGCACCTTAAAATGTTTCGAAGATAAAGGTAAAGTATACATATTTGCAACTAGAAACAAGAAATTATGAAGGGAAAGGTCGTAATTCAGATTAGAATCTGATGAATACTGGAATTTCACCAAGGTCTTGCTATAATACTCAGGAATTAAAAATTCAAAACGATGTGCATGTAACAGGAAAGAAAAAAAAACCAACAAAACACCTATGGATACGTTAATTTCATGTTATGGATAGGCTTGGACTCACACGTTATGTTCTACTTAAAAAGATCTTTCTGATAAGATAAGTAAAATAAGTGGTAGTTCTCTAAGAATTATTTATGTTATGTAAAAGCATGGCTCTTCTGTTTGTCTGTTTCTTAAGTAGTGAATTATCCACATAAGATTTAAGACAATTAAATAGATCTTTTGTCTTAAGAATCTGCTCTGCCTGAGTTGGTTAAAACTGAAATTAGAATTACCAATTTGAAAAAAAATTGTCTGCTCTCTAGTTCTTTACCTTCACTTTCTTATCAGCTGAACAAGTCGCTACAAATTCACCATCTGCCGAGAAAGTGCAACAAAGGACTTCATCATCGTGGGCACTTATCTCCAGGAGCCTCTCTCCACTTTCTGCTTTGAACACCTAAAACAAACAATAAAATCTTGTAGCTCACATACAATTTGAAAACAGAAATATAAGTTTATTTTCTCTCAAGTAACTCTCTTGATACAATCTGTTGATAAAATTGGTTTATTTTTAGATGTACTTATCATTCCAGGGAAATTAACATAATAAAAGATATTTAATTTGAGATTCAATTTTGTTAAGGATGACATAAAATTGTTAGGGAGAGAAATAACTAAGACTAATTTTTACAAAGACATCTGTATGTTTCATTAATGACTTTTTCTACCTTCACTACCTTAAGCCTAAATCCATACCATTTGTCAACATTTTTTAATAGTAACTGCAAAACACTATCTATTAACCAAATCTGAACTATTCTTAAAACTATGAATTTGAGGTTTATATATATATATCTGATAACTTTCTGTGGAAAGTAAGAATTTCAGCAGCAATTGATGATTTGGTGAATAAACAAGAAAAAAGTAGTGAAAGATGGTACATGATGACATAAGTGTCAGTCTTGAGCTAGTCATACCTAATCAAAGGACACCTAGGGAAAAGTGTCACATATTAATCAGTTTCCCAAAATTCTAGGATTTAACTTTACAATCATGGGGAAAAAAAAAAAAGAGACAACAAAACAGGTCTCCCTTTCCTCCTCAAGTTACATACCCTTGATTATTAAAACATTACAAGGTGTTCTTCACAGCAGCACTCAGGATACTATAGTTGTGAAGTCCCTGCTTTTCCATTTATTTTTTAATTGAATGGAAATATCAATAACAATTAAATGATTGCTATTTGTTCAGAAAAGAACATAAATACTGAAGTAACAGGAATTCTATTCTTCACAGTATCTATTCTTAATCTAGCAATTTTTTAATTTTTTTTTTTTTTACAGAAACAGTAGAAGTAGCCTTCAAACTGAAAAGCTCAGGCTATTAAAAAATAAAGAGTAAGTTCAAAGTTAAACAATAAAAAATGATTATTGCCAATTTCTCTATTACTTCTTCAACAAAAGTTGAGTTTAAATGCAATCACAATCCACACGTTTTACATTTTTGAGTGGAAAATTAAAAAAAAAAGAAGCAATCTGCAGTCTCATTAATGAAGCCATTAAGCACAGAAGCCCAGCACAGTAACTTCAGCACAGCATGAGTACATCTACCAGGCATCTCCTTATGTGGATGCCATGATCATAACACTGTACAAGCCAGCAAATAAATAAATAAAAGCACAATAACAGCACATGGAGTAGCCAAAAGAACAGCAGCTAAGCACCACTAATATTATCACTTGAGTACTCAACTTATCAAGCATCCAAAACAATACCAAAGGCTTGCAGAAAAGTTGCTCTTCTCCCTTACCTTTGGCTGTCTGGAATATGGATACTTTACCAGGTTACTGGCTGGCTGACTGCTAGTTTTCTTGAGAGCTGGCTGGCTCCCCTCCAGGCAGACTGCTGGCAAATTTGTATTAGTCACTCTTCTCTCTGTCTCCCCTAATCCATTTTCTAAGCACTTTGGGCCTGTTTCCAATCTAATGCTTTCCTCAGCTTCAGGGGTTCATTTTTCTCTTTGGACTTATTCCTTTTGCATAAGACAATTCACTAATTAAGCACCAAAGTAGCATAATGTGTATTATCATCCCACAGAAATAGTGAAGCTGGTAACTAAATGTCCTACTGTTTCCCAGCTCTGTAGAAGGTCTACTGTGACTGGAAACATTTTTTGCAAGCAATGAAACATGCAGAGTTGCATTACTTAGGCTGTGAGCTTTTCCATATCACTAAAAGGCGTCTCACATTCCCGTATTACAATGGCTGGAGTATAAACCCTGAAATCACAGTTTAGCTTTCACACTTGAAGATAAAGTTTACTATTCTAAACAAATGCTTACTACTCTAAAACATGCAACTTGATGTTTAAGCAATACATCCCTGTCAATCGTCTGTGTCCAGTATGTTCTAGATCCCTAATAGCTCCACATAACGGCAAAAGAAAAGTGACAGGACTGTTAACAAATGTTATCAAAACCGTACACAACATCTCTTTTCACTCAGCATAGTTTTCTTACCTGAAGTGTTTTATCAGCTCCACATGACGCTATTCTTTGTGTATCCTTAGAAAAGCAGGCATGGTAAACTGCATCTTTATGGGGACGAACAACCAGACGGTAGAGGTTTTTCAAGGATTTTTTATTTCTGCAGGATATGATAGTTGATTTCAGATGAGTAAGATTTCCTAGTGCCTTTTTATTATTCAATATCCTCTTTAGGAAAATAATACTTTTTTCACACATCTTTAATAACAAGCTTTATAACAAACCAACCAACCTGCTACACTTTACCTCTCTGCCTTTATGCTGAAGTAATAAGGGAAACACAAATTCTAATACTGACTCAGTTTTTATTGCCCTCCAATAGTTGCAGCTTAAAGATTCAGAAAGATAAGATGTGCACAAGGAATGAACACACTACTTTACAGGTAAAGCTGTTGCGCTGCAAGACGCAGTCTTCCTAATGACATTTTTATGATCTGATATGTGCTATTTCCAAATATAAGTTTTCTTCCTAAGAATTCTTCTCCTGCAGGTTCCTTTTCAAACTTATCAGAAACATCTGTAAATTTGTTTAGATCTCAGTAAATTTACTGAGTATTCACAGCAGTGACTCAAGTTTTGTCAGCAGATATTTAAATAAAATCTAGTATTTCAATGAGAGATCAAGTATAGATTCTAACAACTTAGATAACTCTTGCCCCACACTAATATAAACCTAGAATTAGTAGCAAACAAGCATCCTATTTAGACAGATCTTAATACAGAAACCTGTCACTGTAATAAAATTATTTTTGGTGATGAACAGACTCTAGACTCTATTTTCTAGAGTCAAAATGAATCAATGTATTTCAATTTCTTATCATTAGCAATTTTAATCATCAGGCTTATAATTTAAATAATGGTTAAAGTGATTTTTCATTGCAAGACACTGACTCGTCTAACTTTTTTTTTTTATTATTTTAATATAGCTAAAATGGCTGGTCAAGAGGGTAGTGTATTCACCCATATATCCTACAAACCATTTTTAGAACCTTGCCCTTGGATGGAAGACAAAACCATCTGTTTCTGTTCTGTTGATTTCAGCCATGTTCTTCAGCACAAGCCTCCCACATCCAAGGTGAAAGCCCTGAACTACGTGGAGATCAACTCTTCTGAACTGAGCAACTTCCAAGCATTTTTTTTGTTAGAATTCTGTTAGCTTTGCAAAATCAAATAACTAGACGTTCAAAGAAAAACCTGAATTCAAGTATGCCTGGATTGACTTGTCTGGTTATTACCCTGACAGACTAATTGTTTTTTGTAACCACCAAGTACTGTAGGCATCAGAACAGGAACATAAACCAGAAGAACCTAACAGAGACGGTTACATAGTCAGATGATTACTGAACTATGTTGGAAAATGTTTAGATATGTATACTTTTTCTTTAAACAACTTCCAAAAACATGAAAACAGGAAAAAAACATAAAAATAGGAGAAATTTCAAGATTGGATACAGATTACATAGTCTTTTAGCATTTCCCATTTCACTACTTTCAAAAACTTTGCAAGTTGACACAAATGCTCTCCTTTTTAAAGTGTACGTTTTATTAGAAAACATAAAACCATACTGTAACATACCCAGTACTACAATTTCAATTTTAAGCAAAAGTATTTAGAGACATTTTAAAGTATCTTATTTTCATCTTTGTATAGTTATTTAAAAGGAACAATCACTGAGTACAGAAGTAATCATATTCCTCTATTTCTGTGTAATTACTACTAATTTATGGCCTTACACACCCATAGTTCCCCTCCTCCCACAAGTTCTTGAGAATCATTTTGCTTTCTTTCCCCAGAAAAAAAAGGACAGCAGTTCTTAAAAAGGTCTTTATATTAGCCATACATTGCATTTTTTTGTACTTTAAATGATTTCTTCGTATCAAGGGATCAGCATACCAGCATACAGACTGCAGCTACTTACATCCACTCCAAATACAATGTTCCTGTTTCTCTTTGGGCATGTAGCTTGGCTTGTTGATACACCTCTGATGTCTCTGGCTGGCAGAGACCCAGCTGTATAATGTCAGGAAACGGTTGCCTTCCAAGTAGGTGCCCATTTAAAGACAGAAATTCCTGGAAGTTCTCACGTACTGTGCTATCCTATGGACAGACCAGATAATATTTGGTAACATAGAAAGTGGATTTAATTCCTAAGAGCCCTTTGCTTTTTGTAGTTTTATATACAGCTAATATCCTTACAGAAGCACTTACTTATATTTTTCTATTAGTAAGTACATATGCTAAACTGAAATACCTCATACCCCTGTTCAGGAAACATTACTATCCTTATTTTTCAAATCAGGATATTTCTACCAGTAATTTACTCAATAAGCAGTTGAAGTGAAATATCAGCAAGACTTTTCCAAGTGAAAACCAAAATTCTACACCTCCTCAAAAGTGGAGCATATTAGGTACTGCTGCTCACCTTAACTAGGGAGTTGTATGGTCAATTACTTAATTGCACATTGAAGTTAAAACTAAAACCCAGTACTAAGATTTCTTCATTTCTCTCTTCTCCAAGTTAATTTGGTATTGTTCTTACGTTTCATTTTTTTAAGCTTTCTATACATCTCTCATATACACATATATCCAACAAAACGCAACTGCAAAGTAGAAAAATACATTTGGAACAGACAGATCATTTACCTTTCAGTACCATACCTTTTGATCCAGGATTGAACTGTATTCTACATATTCATGAATCAGATGAGCAGGCCCTACCAATTCTGTTTTAGCTTTAATCCAATCTAAAGAAAACATAAGATCACGGAGTTCCTACAAGAAATATAAATTTCAATTCAGAGTATGCTTCGTAACAGAATATACTTAAGGGGAAAAAGCACAGGAAATACAGTAGGTATTTAACATGACTCAGTACAACTGTCTCTAGTTAGAAACTTAAGCAGTTTCTTGTGTCCTGCATCTTACTTGATCAGGTATGAAAATTCTGGGTGTAGAAGGCTCAGCTTGTTATTTTAATGCCAAGGACTACTCTGTCAATCAGTCAGTCAGAGAATGCACAGGGGTACAAAGCAAATCTTGGCTTAGGTAGCACACAAGACCTAGGTCAAGATACAACTCTGAAAAAGCTTCTCCTAGTCCAGTCTAGCAAAGATCAGTCTGCTAGTAGCGATCAGTTGTTCTTCCCAAGAGATACTGAATTTGAAGGAAAGCAAAAAATCTGTTACAGTTGCATCTAACTTAAAAATGAAAATGCTACTTAATCAATGCAATCAGAAGCTGCAAACAGAATTATTAGAGTGGACTGTAATCTTTCAGTAGGAAGAGACCTACAAAGACCATCTAGTCCAACTGCTTGACCACTTCAGGGCTGACCAAAAGCTAAAGCATGTTATTAGGGACATTGTCCAAATGCCTCAAACACTGACAGGCTTGGGACATCAAACACCTCTCTAGGAATCCTGTATCAGTGCTTGACCACTTGCTAATTTCCAGTCTAAACCTGCCCTGGCACAGCTTTGCACCATTCTCATGCATCCTATCGCTGGATACCAGGAAGAAGAGATTGGCACCTCCCTTCTCCCTTTCCCCACCCTCAGGAAGCTGTAGAGAGCAATGAGGTAGCCCCTCAGATTCCTTCTCTCCAAACTAGGCATGCCCAAAGTCCTCAGCCTGTCCTCACAGGAGATTCCTTTCAGCCCTCTCACCAGCTTATCTGCTCTTCTCTGCACACATTCAAAGACCTTCATATACTTCTTAAATTGTGGGGCCCAGGCCTGCAGACAGTATTCTAGGTGAGGCCACATCAGAACTGAACACAGTGGCATAATCCCCTCTCTTGATGAGCTGGTCATGCTGTGTTTGATGCCCCCCAGGATGTGGTTTGCCCTCTCAACTGCTGACTCATGTTGAGCCTGTTATCACCCAACACCCCCAGATCCTTTTTTGCAGGGCTGCTCTCCAGCCACTCTCCCAATTTATACTTGTGCCCAGCGTCACTCTGTCATAGGTGCAGAATCTGGCATTTGGACTTGTTAAATTTCATCCTATTAATCATTGTCCAATGCTCAAAATCTATCTAGATGCTTCTGCAAGGCCTTTTGTCTCTCAAGAGAGTCAACAACATCTCCCAGCCTGGTATCATCAGCAAACTTGCTAATGGTGCATTCAACTCCTGCATCCAAATAATCGATGAATATATTGAACAAGACTATCCCTAGAATTGAAGCCTGAGGAACACTGCTGGTGACCAGTAACCAGCCAGCTGTAGCCCCATCCACTACAACCCTTTGAGCCCTGCCTTCCAGCTGGTTCTTCATTTGCACATCGTGTACCTGCTCATCTCACAGCTGGACAACTTGTCCAGAAGGATGCTGTGAGGGACAGTACTACAAAAAGCTACCAAAAAATGACATCCATTGCCTTCCCTTCATCCACTAGGCAGGTGACCTTATCTTAGAAGGATATCAGATTAGATAGAGAGGACTTTCCCTTTGTGAACCTGTCTTCGACTGTGCCTGATGACTGCATTGGCCTTTAAATGCCTTTCAGCAGTAGGCACTACAATATTCATAATTTTTCCAGGAACTGAGGTTAGACTAATAGGTCTGTGGCTTCCTGGGTCTTCTCTCACACCCTTTTTGTGGATTGAAATAATGTCAGCTAGTTTCCAGTCAGCAGGGACCTCCTCAGACTCCCAAGACCTTCAGCATATGATCGAGAGGGGTCCTGCCATGACAGCTGCTAGCTCCTTCAGTGCTCTGGGATGAATCCCACCAGGCCCCATGGACTTGTGAACATTCAGCTGATACAGCTAGTCCCTTACAATGTCATTGTCCATGGACAATGGAAAAATCACTGTTCCTCCCATGCTTGTGGTTCTCTGACTTGGGGAACTAGGCAACCCAAGGTCTGTCATTATTATTAAAGACTGAGGCAAAAAAAGCACTGAATGCTTCTACTTTTTCTTTATCTCTATTAGTCAGATGACCATCTTCAACAAATATCCATCCAATGTTTTCTTTAGACCCCCTCTTGCTACTAACATACTTAAAAAGCCCTTCTTGTTAAAAAAAAAACCAAACAACATACTTGCCGGGATCAGAAAAGCTGCTTAGAGAAAACACAGCACAGTTTCAAAGTGAATTCCAAATTAAAATCAGTAAATATTGCAAGGTTTAAAAGACTACCATGGTTAGACAAAGGAAAATAATACCTCCCATCTTTATTAGCCTCCCAACAAATGGAAATCGTGTGCAAATAATGAGAAATAAGTAGTATAAAGAGTGTAAACTCTGGGAAGCATACAGTCATAATGAGACAGGCTAAAGAACTCTGAGAAGCTAATTCTACAAAATGTAGAGAGACTAATAATAAAAATGTTTTCCCAATACATTGAAATTAATAAAAAAAAATCTGTAGCCCACAGTAATTATGAAGTAATACCTAAGTAGACAAAGTGTATTTTATATCACAAACCATCTCAAAAGAGGTTCAACTTAAAAGAATTGAGTGTATGTGAAATAAAGTGATTAGCAACCAAGACCAAATGCTTTTCAAGGCTAGACTTCCAAAGATATTCAAATGAAACTGCTGAAGTGTTACTCTTCCTGGATGATTTGCATCTTATACTAGCTCAGTACCTAAAGAAGAGTAAAGCAGCAAAAACAACAGCAAATTTCTAAAGGTGCCAAGGCAATTCTAGGAACAACATATTTGCCCATCTAACTCTTGCTAGATTTTTGGTGGCTGTTGAAATCTGGTAATACAGAGAATAAACTTTTACACACAAATCAGTATGACATAAGAGGAAAAAACTAACAAGGCTCCTGCAGAAAAAAAAGTTACTGAACTAATGAAATTCTCTGAAGAAACTAATTCACTTGTATTATCATACAACAAAGCAAGCCCAGGTTTTCAAAAACGTTTACAGAAGATTTCTTATCAAAGCTTCTTAAAAAGGAAAAAAAAAAAACCACACGCTATTATGATACAAAGTGATAAATCTTTTCAAGAACTAGTTGAAAGGACAAGACACAAAGGGTAGAAATAAAGTAGTTTTCCTACCAGACAGTGATTATCAGTGGAGCCCATAAAGGACTCTATAGTTGAGTGTTTACCTATCTGAACAAAAGCCTGGGAGAAAGAGGTTCAGGTGTGAAAAAGTTGTGGGAAAGGCTAGGCAAGGGTAGATCAAGAAGGGAGACAGAGGACACTAGTCAGAACTCACCTTCTGCATGTTGGCACCAGCCATGTGATATGCTAGGAAGTTATACCAGTACATGCAATCCTCTTGAGAGGGAACAGGCGTATTAAGCTTGTAGTATTTCTTGTACTGATTTACTATGTTCTTATGTAGCTCCTGTAACATGAACCAAAACACACCTTCAGTTAGTACTATACCAAGGTATGGATTGGTTTCAGCACTGAGGAATTGTAATTATTACTAATATATTGTACATAATATTGCAAAATTTTTTTTTTTTCTTCCATCATAGTACATCAACAAACAAAAAAAGAAAAGCTTACCTTCCAAAACTTCACACTTAACCTAGTTTACTGCTTAAGACTTCTCCAGAAACATTCTCTGGATATTAAAAGACAGAAGAGCAAGCTGTTCACCTTTGTGTTTAGGTGGTAAACAGCTATCAAATCACTTTTCACATTAAATGTGGATAGCAAACAAAAAAAGACCCTTGCATATGTAGATCTTAAGCAAGCCTAAGAACTTGCATTTTCTTCATATCTACTCTTTCTGCCCTGTCCTTCAGAACTGATAAGTTTACTGGGCCAAACTTATAGATCCTCTCCCTGCAAGTATTGCTTCAAACTGAACTAAAGGAATAAAAAGCACTTCTCTGCATTAAAGAGGGAACTTCCTATTCTAGTAGAGTCTTGATGCCTTTGAAATCATCAGTGGAACATTCCATCTCCTTCCATAAACATCTCTGACACAGAAATAATGGATATAGTCTTCTCTCAGATCAGGTTCTTAGATCTAAATGGAACCACCATGAAATCCTCCACAGCTTCAAGTCGAAAATGAACATTTTTAACTAGTCAGCATGAAGTTTCACTGCATTGTGGACCTATTCCACACAGCTACTCTTAACAAAGGAACATTTTCTGAAGAACGCCCAGCTTTGAAGGATAAAGTTCAAAGTAATTAGTCAATACTCTACCTGAAGCTGGTTCCGATTCTTCTCTGTAAGAAAGTCAAGTTGAAGATCATGCAAATAATAATGGAATGACTTCCCGTTACGATCACAGAACAACAGTGATTTGTTAACAAATTCCTGTAGCAGATCTTCAACTTCTTCCGTTTCCATATCCCAAAGAATACAGAAAACCTAAAGACGCACAATAAGACAGAAAAAAAATCAGAACGAAGGGGTAGTGACCTGTATGATTATCAAAAACTACCAATTACCGGACAACAAAGCACATACTAACAAATATTGACATATTACAAATGGTAATAAATTCAGTAAGATACCAATTCTTCCATATCAAACTACAGGACAGGTAATGTAAGTTATGCCACCTTTTGCCTATTTGTGTTGATTTATGGTGATCGTGTCTTGTTCTCAAGGGAGACAGATTTTACACAACAGTTTTAAGCCTTCAGAGAACTCAATTACAATCTAAATAAAGAGCTATATGGAGAATGCACGCTAAACGTGAATACATTTATTCAGTTACAATCTTATAGTTTCACTACTGACAACAAAAGTCATGATAAAATAATGGACCTGACCTACTCAATCTAGCAATTACTATTAAGTAACATGCAACAATTATAAACTTTAGGAATTCTTTAAAGTTATTTTTGGTATCTCACCAAAAATTACTAATTTCTGCATTGCTGTTATTACCTTAGTAGGTACTTTAACATCTTTTGGGAGGACAGAGAGGTCTTTATAGTAGTCTTTATAATTGTCATTCAGTTGCTCAACACTTATGGACATTGCTTCATCAAGGGCTTCATAATCATAAGAAGATGATTTTCTTATTCTTTTAAATTGCTTATTCTGCAGCTGTTTCAGATAGTACTCCCAACGGCCAGGGAAGTCTCGTAACAACGCACCTATCAAGGATATCACAAGAGGAGAACCTGAAGGAAAAAGATTAATTTCATCTTAGAGGTTTTCAAGGAACCCAGTCCAGTAGTTTAGTCAAGTGGTTGAATAGATCAGGTTACTTTTCCAACACATTGATTAAATTCTTGAGCTGTGGAGAACAGACAAACAGAACGTGTCATCCACGTAGACATCTGCAGGCTCACCAAATTTAAGCATAATGGGAGGAAAAGAGAAGATATGCTGAACAAAACTACTCAAAAATCAACATCAGACACTTCCACTTAGTTTAAAAACAAACAAACAAACCAGGAAGCATTTAATAAACGCTTTTTTTTTTTTTTACTTAAGATGTACAGCATTAAAGAATGTTCCCCCCTCTATTTCTAAGCCAAAACCTAGAAGCAAAACATAGACTTAGTGGTAAATGTTAAGCTAAAGAGCAGCAGGTATACCTTTGCATTCCCTTACAAGGTAGTTTGCTTGTTCCGGCAGTTCTGATATTTTCATATTCACAAACAGGGATAAAATCTCCAGTCCCTTCTCATGTGCTAGTCCACTTTGCACATGAACCTCGTATTTGTTGCCTAGACATAGAAACATGGAAAAAAAAGCTAAGAATGTTAAAAATACTATGGAAATGTACAGTATTTTCAAGGCAAAATCTGGATCAAAGGATCCGGCTCATGACATTTTGTATAGTATTTTATATGCGTAGTATTAAGAAGACTAAATTCTACTTTTCAGAATCAAATTTGCACTGGAAAGACAAAAAAAAACCAACACTATAATAATCTAATAATTACAAATGCATTAGGACTGCTTCATAGCATAGAGATAATCTAACAGCAACAGTGTCAGAAATTAATTTATCCTATTGAGAACCACTGCACTCTCCAATTTAGACAGATAACTTTCAGGATAATATATAACATTTATTTCACAAAGAGCATAAAGTCTTACAGAGCAGAATTCTAAAATTTTGCCACTTGTACACAAGTTGATAGACATAGATTCTATCAGATTATTTTAAAAGTTCACAAGAACAAATTGCATACATATACACACATACACAATCTGTCTTGCATGAGAGGAAACTTCCTTACCAGCCACAGCATCTGTTACACTCCTGTCCCTGCTGGTTATAAGAACTTGACACTGATTATCAAATGCTTTTAATACCCAGGAATCCCAAATATCGTCCAGGATCAAAAGAGATCTAGTGCAAGAAGAAATATTGCAGATTTCAGATCAAGTAGTAGAGCTAAAATACAGTATTTTATTTTAATAATGAAAGAACACTTTTAGAATTTACAATGTATCACTGAATATTTTTTTTAATATTAATATATAAAATATCTTCAGAGGGCATTAAACACTGCAAGAGAGATGAATGCAATCTCAAAAAAAAAGTTTTTACTATTTATTGCTTTATAGCTACAACTGAAGCATAAACAATAGTTTTGATAAATATTTCCATTAGCAGATGCTGGGAAATACAGATATATTTACTCTGTTTTTCAAGTCATCAGATATTGTAAGTGAAGAAAAAGGTTGTATAGGAATAGATAACTCTGCATGACACAGGTTAGAGATAAGCCTTGTAGGAGAAACCATTTCAATTTCTGTTTGACTTAAGAGTTTTCAGTTTTGTTCTTCTATCTTCAGAAAGCTATATGAAATTAATCCTCTTGTGAAGGAATTGTCTTGGATGATGAGACTCTTCTTACATAACATTTTATAATGATTACATATTCAAATCCTATGGCTAGTCATATTTGTAGGTTACAACATGGAATTTCACCAGAATCATGTGTTCTTCCTTAGACTTGCCTCTATCTGCCAAAGAAGTTACTGAGGACTGTTTATAAAAGAATGGTTCCAAGGGAGCAAGAAGTCAAAAAGACTGGCTGGCAAGTAGACTTATGAAAAGAAATACCAGTTATTTGCATTCTGTGTGTTTTGTGGGGTAAAGAAAGTTACTGAAACCAAATCCTACAAATTGTTTACATTTACTGCCTTTTTTAATTTTAAAGGGATGGAATTTTCAGCTACATCAGTCATTGCTTAAATTGTCCCATTCCCACTGAGGCATGCCAAGATTTCCACATTTTTCTTTAGCTAAAAGACGTTTATGCTGTCAATACTTATAAATAAGAATTTTATCCTTCACAAATAAGTTCATACACAATATATAACACTTTTAAAAGTTGCATATAAGTCTTGGGTTCCCATATTTCATTTTTATACAATTCCGTTATTAACAACTTTTTTGATAATTCAGAGGATTTACAAGAATACTATCATAGCCATAAATTACTAATTTTGTGGTACTTTCACACTTTAAAATATGCTGGGCAGCATGAATTACAGCCTGGTTTTATGCTTTTAATTCATCTGACACTTCAAAGTCTGCCCAATCTTTTGGTCCAAGATCACTTTATAGAGTGGCTTCCATCTTCTGGAACAGATTATGATGCCATAGGGATACACCTTACAAGAAAATAGCAGAGTACTCCCTTCTACTCAGAAGAGATTGTGATGTAGTGAATGAATTAAACATCAAAATTCTTCTGCATTGAAGAGTTTTGCTTTGTTTGTTAATGAAAAAAAATAGCAAGAACTGTGTAAACGGAGACAATCACTTAACATACTTAACATACCACTTAACTCTTTCAGTGTAAAGTATCTTGTTTGCACTTTTCATGCAAGACTTCCACAAAAATGAAAGATTTCTTGTGGAGGAGCTGGCATTGTTTCTCAATCTTTTCTTCACAAGAAAATTATGGGGTTTTTTTCCCTGCACAAAAATGCCAGTATTCTTCTACTCTATGTTATCTATAAAGGTCAAAAGGTTGGAGTATTATTCTTGAGATATGTAACTCAGGTACAGGACTGTTTAATTCAGTACAGATTTTCCTAGGGAGTATTGAAATCCTCAACAAATAAAAATTATTGCTCACAGATGAAAAAAGCTGTGCAGTGATGGAGAACCTGCTTGATTAAATTCAGTCACTTTTCCTGAAGTTTGAAAGCGACAGGTTTCTTGGCAGTAATTGAGCATATCATGAAAACCTGCCTTCACTTTGACAACTCTAGATCAAACCCTTTAAAAAGACAACAGGTGCTCTGGAAAGAATAAAATTTCTGCAGTGATACACAGCCTTGAGCTGCTGTATGAACCTCAAACATCAGTGAAGCATTCTACATAACGAGAACATGGAAAACTAGAACAAGTGTCATCTCCAATTGTTTGTTCCCAACTTTCATTATTCAGTGACTAATGCTTTTTCAAGCAAATGTGACTCCTGCACAGCTGTTTAACATTTTATTAGCAAAAGCCTTATTTGTCTGCTAAATATATTCATATCCAGGACAAGACTGCAATGTGTCCCTTAAGTTAGCCCATTTAAAACAAACATTTACACAGAACAGTTATACTATTGAAATGCTGGGGTTTGAACCCCAAGCCCCCAAATTAAGGTTGACATATGGGTGATTCCCACAGCCCTTCATAAAGAGGTGGTGAGTTTGCCTTATAGCTTCCCCCCAGGGTGTGGCCAGCCCTGCAGGAAGAGCCATAAGTGAAATGAGCCCCAGGGGTCCCGCAATGAGTTGACAAAGGTCAGGTGTCCCATTTGGGGATAAAAGCTGGGACCACTTGCAGGGAGTCAGGAGTGTCTGTGGAGTGCACTCCACAGAGCTTCCTGGTTCAGGGAAGACCTCCTGACTCTCCCTGGAGCTGGGCCCCTGTCTGTTTAGACCTTCGCGAATGCGGGCGGATGGGGTGAGAGTCA